ATGATTTAAATTGAATCCACCCTGCTCTAAATGTACACTCTGAAAAGCAATAGCTACTGTAATAGGTTCTGATGAACTTGATCAGGAGAATTCATTGAAGACACATGTCATTTACATCTGATGTACTTATTATAAACAGAATGTATACCAGAGTAGTAAGCATTTGCAAAGACAGCAGTGACAAGGCAGAGTCTCTATCATCTACACCACACACCAAATACAGCTGCAAGGAACATCTATTGTATCCATAAATCACAAAACAGAATGTTCATAATTTATATTTTATGGATTAATGTCTTATATTATGATTGAAAGACAAATCACACTTCTCTAGTTGAGACCTAGTTACATGCTACTTGATATTCTTTAGTTCTCAAAGCATGTTTTCTTACCAGATGAATCATTCAATTAGTTATACAACCACACTGTCTGCACAGAACACTAATGGCTCAACTGAAGTAATCAGTCAAAAAATACATTTTTATCAAGCAGCAGCTTTTTTTCTTAACATAAAAATATGTTATCTTTGACAATTGCAGCTCTGAAATGTTTTAATATTCCCCAGAACATCACAGGCTGGCCATTTTAAAAAAGCTATGACATTCTAAGACTTAGATGTTTTGGACCAGAACTCCCATTATTTTAGGACAGTGAGAGTTGGCATCCAGCACATCTGAAGACAGTATGTAGTGGAGGACTGTTCTAATTATCAGTTTCTTTGATTTCAACAGTGCTAATTTACTTGAACAAAAATATGCATTTGCATTTTTGGTTCCAAATTAGAGCAATGTGGAATGTTGAGCTCATTACTTGCCTCAATTTCTCCAATTATGTTTTATTTGACTGTTCTGACATTTAGCTGCAATTGTATGCTGGTGTTATTTTATACTGGTGTCTGTTTTTTTATTATTGTGTCAGTCTTATTGTGATAAAACAATGAGTTTTATTGTTGTAAGATGCTTTGGGAGAGCTTCTGCCCTGAAAGGAAGCCGGGAAAGATTTAAAAACCCCAACTTTAAAAAGAAAGATTTTGAAGAAAACACATTGGTTCACTATATAATGTAGAATTTCCAGGGGGCAAGAATCACTTCCTCATACCTACTTGCTATAGTCTACTTCTTGATGGGCCTATTTCTGTAAGGATTTCTTACAGGTTACGGGCCAAGAGCATAGTGCTTACAAGTGCCACAATAGTGAAATTTTTTGTCTATGCAATAGTATTATTTCACATGTACACTCTGCTCTTTTGACCTCCAAATCATAGCACACTACAGTATCACTTCTAACTACTGGTTCTTACTATAAGTCATCTAATTTATTTGCCCAAAGCTAAATACTATTTGTCTGAGGAAGTAGTTCACTGCAAAGCATAATCAGAATTTTAGAAAACTATTACTAATCTGAAGTTACCTTTTTGCTGCTGCTGAAAAGTTCAAGGCATGCACAGACATGGTGTATGAACTACCACTGTGTTGGAAACTCTACCAATCTTAGCGTAAGTAAAACAAACAAGTGCTACCACACACAAGAATTATCCACAATGCAGAATAGTTAGTACTTACTGGAAATTGTTTATCCAGTGGGAATAGTTATGAAGAAGCAGCTTTTATCTCTTCAGTCTACTGATATCTGAATACTACAAAGAATTTTGGGCACTTTAAGGCCAAATTTTATTTATTTTACTTTATTTGTTTATAAAATGGATTACAGCATAAGCATTTCTAGAGAGATAAGCAGCAAAAACAAAAGAGATGCTGGGTTCAGGCAGCACATTGACCACATTGGCTTATATGCCATGGTGGTTTAATGGACTACTAGTTCAGACATGGGACATGTCTTAGGAAAGGAAGAACATTTGGTACCAGTATTCTGCTTCTCTCTGCATCCAGCAAAAAAAGGAAAGAAAGAAAAAAGGAACCCAATCCTGTGGATGGTGAGAAGGACAGCAGTAAGAATCTGAAAGGGGCTGTTTTTAAATTTGAGCTTGTACATTTTGCTTGAGTTGCAGGGAGAAGGTGTGGATGTGTGTTTGCCTGGGTTCTTTGGTGGGAATACTTCCTGGGTATTTTGTCTGGAAGAATACATATGCTCCTCAGAGTAAAACCAGTTCTCCTTCTAGGAAATAGGTAATCTGTTCATGTCAGATATGTGACTTAGTACCTGAGAATGAGACTGAACCTGCGCTTTATAATGTTTTTTGAGCAAACTGCCTTGTGCCTAGACAAACATTCAATGCAGACATTTGATAGTGGTACCCACAAGAGCCTTCCAATTTTGGATAGAGCCAAACAGATGGTGAATCCTACTGTTACTTCAGCAAAATCCATATTTAAGCAGTATATTCATTTCACACAGCTTGAGGAATTCTACACTTGACCTGTCTCCATAGTAAAACAGAATGAGTTAGTTTTCCAAGTAAGACACAAACAAGATTCACAGAAGCCCTCACACAATGTTTATTGCTAGAGAGAGAGAGAGAGAGAGAGAGAGAGAGAGAGAGAGAGAGAGAGAGAGAGAGGTGCCTAATAGCCAAAGCAAGATCTTACACACAGGAAAAAAAGAAGGTCACTCATGTTCTGAGCCCCCTTTTGTGGGCTTAATTGGTTAAGTAATACAATGAATTCAAAAGCAAAAGTTACATAGTGGCATTCAAGTCTTAACTTCAAAGCTTTTATACTATGAACACTATTAACAAGTACATAAGGAAGAAAGCCAAGAAAAAAAGGAGGTCAGTAATCCACGCGACAAGTCTAGCTAGCAATTAGGCATTGCATGTCAGTAGGCCAGCTTTAGGTAAAATTCATTCACAAGTTTAATTTTAGTTTCCTTTATATCTCATTACATTATGTACATATAATTCTACGCATCTCTGCTATTTTTCCTTGCACCCATTTTTAGCACTGCTGTATCTTCTCCGAGATTCCATCAATATCCTGCACTGAGAAGCCCCTTTTGTGAAGAATAGTAAAGATATTTCAAATCAACAACATCTGTTTAAGAACTCAAATCCACTCCCAAAAGGAGTTCTAGCAAAAAGATGTGTTAGATATCAACACCAGGAAACTTTTACTGGCTGTACATGAGAATGCCAGCTCATGTCATGCAAACTAGAAGACTTGACTCACATTTTCCCCCCCTCAGTGACTGTTGCTACTAACACCACCAGAAAGTTCTACTCCGTTAAAAAGTTATGTAAGTATTCTCCATTTACCTGTGAGCGGGCTGTGGAATATGTTCATATGGATACTTTAGTAATGCATGTTTGATAACAGCAAAGTTATCCACAGCTACCTAGTTTGTTCTCATTGGCTAAACACTGTGCCTTTTACCCTGTTTTTTTTTCTCCTGAAGCAAGGAGAAAGAGGATAAATGCACTGAGAAAGGGGGAATAACAGCAAAAATGTTTTCTACATGAAAAATAAACATCAATGCTAAGAAACACTGAAGAGATGCAGTTATGTTGAGGGGGGAGAGGAAGTATCTATCCCAAAACCTGTCAGGAAGAGGCAGCTGAATCAAGTAGGAAGCAAAAGAGTTTAATTGTTGCAAGGTGTGATGACAGCAGAAAGAGAGGGGTGAGGAAGAAAACAACAAAACTGTCTAGAAAAGGTGATCATCTATTGGAAAGATGTGGTAAGGATCCACCAACCATGACAACTCTCCACCCTTGCTTTTTGTGATATGGGAACCCAGGCAGTATCTCAGAACATACAGCTTCTACTGCTGGAGCTGCACCCAGCTAACTAGGAAGATTCCTATGAAACATATCCACACACTTAACTAAAGAGTTTGATAATCCTCTCTCCAATCTGCTAAAATAAAATGAAGTACTATCTACACCAACTGGCCTTGCCACTTCAGAATTTCAGACAGGAATTTTCCCCAGCTCTACTTGGAAATGAAAGTACTTGAACCTAGAACCGTCTGTTCTACCACTTGTGCCCTTACAGCATTTCTCCAAACATATGCTACTGGCTAGGGTTAGGTGACAAGTTCACACTCATGACATAAATTAATTCATTAATACAGTTTATACTGCCTAATTTTTCAGTGCTATTTGGAAATAAAGACTATCAAACAGTTACATGTAAACATGCTCAGCATCTCCAATGGTGTATTCTAATGTCTGGCAGATCTTTCTCTCATGAATTGTCCAGCTGGAAAAATGAGCTTAATGCTGGGCGTGAAACATCCAAGTGGGATGTTTAGTCTATTTTGTATAGCAACAGGAGGAACTGTACAGGTAATCATTTCTGTACTGCCAGTCAGGAAGAGGCTGGAAAGGTCCCAGTTAAGAACATGTCAGAGCAAGCAAAGGAGGCAGGTCAGCGGTGTGACCCTATATATAACCAAGGATGACTAAGTCTGTATCACACAGCTAGGGCAGTTACATGGAAGGCAAGAAAGAAAAGCACATCACTGGAAGTTCACATCAATACACAACAGGTATATCCTCTACAGGCTTCAGCAGAAATTGCTCGCTCTGTTGTTCTCCAGAGTATATAGGACAAAGAAAAAAGTTTTTTTTTTAATGAAATAACTCAGGAGCATACAATCTTGTGATTTTAATACAATTCCTCACAACGAACACCTCCTAGAATTAGCAGCTAAATACGGTTTAAGTTAACATTTATCCCTGTTGCACGCAGTAAGAAAAGCATAAAGCCCCCCTAGAAGAGTTTACCGTGCAACCTTATACGCATTTACAAGGAAGTTCATTGGGACTTGCCCAATACAGCGTCGCAGAAACTCTGAAGCAAATAATCGACAATAGTCACTCTAACCAAGAACAGGAATGGAACAGGTGACCCAAAATGCACCCTCTTTACTAGTTTGAACGTTAACACGTCCGGATGTTTCCAAAGATGTTACCAAGTATCCGCATCGATATTGTATAACCAGAAGCCAACGCGCGTGCGCAGAACTCCCACTAACCTTCTGAATAGGGATTTATTTTTTATCAGCTAAATGAAGGGAATCCTACCAGTACGCCCACTCACCTCCACCGGTTGATCCCCACATTGGAAGAGCCCGCGAACCAGGGGTCCAAAATGTAGACGCAGCGCACCGTGTCGGCTCCTTGGATGACCTCCTTCAGCGCCGGGTTGTCGTGAAGCCGAAGCCCCTTGCGGAACCAGTGCACCGCGTTCACCCTCATCTTCAAGGGTTAGCCGGTTACTCCCCCTCTGCCAACCCCACGAGAGAAAGAAGAGGCGGGAGGAGAACGGGCCGCAAAGTTGAGTGTCGTCGGTCGTTCAAGAATAAATGAAGTTGGCGTCGCGGCTCATATCGAGCCCGGGGCTCGCCACTGAGGGGAGCGCCAAGTGGGGGAGTGCAAAAGAAAAGCGGGTGGGTGGGAGAGACGGAGGTGCGAGAGAAGCCGCTCTAGCGCAGCAGCCCTAGGACCCGGTGGAGGCGGCAGCCGCGGCGGTGGAGGCGGCGGCGGCAGCAGGGGTGGCAGTGGCGATGGCCGCTAGTGCGAAACGCATCACCTCTTCTTTTCTTCAGCCCCACGCGCCCGCTCGCAGCTGGGGGTGGCTGAGCCTCAGAAGGTCCGACGTGAAGAGAGAAACCCCAGGTGGCGGGAAACGCACCTCCTTCCTTCCTTCCGCCTCCCTTCCTGTTCCCCTCAGCTCCCCGCCGTCCGCCGCTCTCCTCGCCGTCCGCCCTGTGACTACGCAGCTCTCTCGACGGACGGGAGCCGCCACGCCCCGCCCCTCTTCTCCATTGGTCGGCTCTGCCCCACGTGACCGCCGGCCCCCTCACGTTTCTCAAATGTGTTTACTATCCCATGGTGAGCCGTGGTGGGCCTCACGGACTGTGAGAGAAGCAATTTATTAAGTGAATAAGTTTGAGGACGTTTATAAAGTAAATAAGGAATAAACGAGGCCGCCGACCATAAACGGCGCTCAACGTAACCCGCATCCACAGAAAGCTGTCACTGTTGGCGGCTAACGAGAAACAGGAAAAGAGGCCGCGGAGGGAATGCTTGAATGCTTCTTCGCCACGCCCCTCCAGCCCGAGCTCCAGATACCCGGATGAGCACGGGGCTTCCATGGAGGTTTCCCTCCATGCTTAACCCTCCCCGAGCAGGCCAGAGCTGAGCGGCAGGCGCGCGCAGGGAGAGGAAACGCGCGCGCCGCTCAGGTCTCCCTTTGGGGATGGGCAGGAGCTGTGCACGAGCTCCCTTATTTTTCTGGCAGAGCCGGTGGATGGGGCATGGGGAGGCGCGAGCGAGCTGTCTCGATGCGACGAATTAGTTGGAGCCAGCGAGAGGCGGAAGCCCTGCCAGCTTCTCTACGCACCTTTCTTATGGCAAGACGTCGTACTTATGTAACTGAAGCGCGTGAGGCGGCCCAGATTAAAAGACGGAGACGCTCTCCTCTTTGCACAGACAGCACCTGGTTACCTCCGTGCTGTTGGGTAACCGTGGCCCGAAGCTCATGATTCAGTTACTGTAAATAATCTTATTCCGCTTTGCGGCTCCGATGTTTTCATCGCTTATAAATTCACGGGTGATCACTGGCGCGTTGTGTGGAGGAAAGGGCTAGCCTGCGAGGTCCAGTTCTAGCTGTGACACTGCCCCTCTATAACGTTTATAGAGAACGTTAAACGCAAATAATAGTATGCAATAACCGAAAAAAGTGCGCCTGTTGCATTGTTAAAGCAAAGCAGCCTTGATAGAAGCACCATGGGTTTGATCCAGATTTAGGCTGCAATCTTATAATTAATTACCTGGAAATAAGATCCGCTGAACTCAGTGGTGCTTCTTCTGAGTTAGGCCTGAATATAGGGCTGCACTGTTAGTTATACTGAAAATGAAGGTATTTAAATCTGCTTAAAGTATGACAAAGCCTAGATCCAGCCCTGCATATGTAATTCTCTACATAATTGGGAGTAAGCTCAAGCAAACTTTCAATGGATCTTCTGAATAAAGATTTAATGAGGCTGCAAGTCACTCTTAAGTTTTGCAAAGGATGGAAAGAAGAAATGATTATAAACAGTTTCTCTTAAATATTGCCCAAGATCTTGTAAAATTAGAGCTTCCTAAATTGGTGAGATCTAGAAACAATCATATTTCACATCCTTGCACCAAGACTGTACAGTAAAAAAAAACAGCAATACCCCTATAGATTGATGCCTGTATCACCAACATAGCTTAGAAATGTGAATCCAAAGTGTAAATCCTCAGATCATTGCATAAATGATTTTAGCATGATTGCAGCTGTGGGCTCTAGTGTGATGATGCACTTGGGGTGTTTCCATATCAATATTATGATCCCAGCTCTTGTACCACAGAGCTTGGGTCACTGACTTTTGTGGTACAAAACCCACATTTGATAGTACAATTCAGATATATTTGTGTAAAATGCATGCTGCTTCATGAGCATCAGTGTAGATTTGGCTGCTTTCTTAGTTCCATCCCATTGACACCTTTTAGACAAATCTCTTTTGCTTTCAGCTGTATTATTTAACATGCATGCACTTCCAATCAAGGATAGAAATATCAGCTTTTCCTGACTAGCACTGCACTACCAATCCCTGAGAAGGTTCCCTGGCTGGAATTAAATGGCATTCCTTAAGAAGGCTTGTTTCTGAATAAGCATATAAAAGATCTGGCTTGATACATTTTCCAGGTAACACAAGAAGAGGAGGGAACTGTTGCACTCATGTCCTGCTTCTTTCATTAGAAACAGAATGCTGGACTGGATTCACCCTTGATTTGATCCAAATTGTTCTTATGTTTTCATATTGTTAACACTATATATTACAAGTGGTATTTTGCATGCACTTCTTACAGAATATCTCTTATAAAATAGGTGGCTGTTCAAAAGAGGGATGAATTATTATGCTCCCATTAGTATATGCTGCAGCTGCATGTGTGGGCTACTAATTGATTCCTGTAGTAGAAGGGGAATTTTGTAAAGGTACAACTAGTTCAATCAAGAGCAGTTTGTTTGAGTTTTGCTACTAATGAATCTAACACGAGAGAAAAAAAAACAGTGCATTGTAGTGAAATGACATGGTCTGGTGGGGGAGAATCTCAGGGATACAGAAAACTGTTTAATCACTCATCACAACCCTATAGGGTGCGCTCTTATAATGTTTACATGGGTGTAAGTCCCTTTCAAATCTTTGGGACTAACTTCTTAATAGATGTGTAGGATTACTCTATAGATTGGAGTCAGGAATGTGCATCAGATTGGAAAGGACTGTAGCTTAGACATAGATGGCCTGCTTTCAATCGCCACCATCTGCAGATAGGACTGAGGTTCAATCCAGGTTCAATCTCCACCATCTTCTGATAGGGCTGAGAAAGTGCCTGCCTACAATCCTGGAGAACTGTCAGTTAGCACTGACAATATAAAGCAGCTGCCTATCAGGGACTCTAGAATGTTGTAGTATACGATCAAGAAAGATATTTGGTAGTAATATGGAAATATGAAAACACACTCATCTTGTATCAGTAATTTCATCTGGATGTTAGTCTTCAAGTGAGGAATATCTTGTACAAATTAGAATCTTTGCAGTAGATTTATCTTTGCAGCTTTCAAATGTAATTCATATTTTGCCTTGAGCATTTCATTCCATACATAGCATTTCCATTCTAAATTGTATATGCAAAATATAGTTGTTTATGGTGCACATTTATCATTATATGTGCACCATAAACTGCAAACAACAAGAAATATTTTATTCACTGAGGAGCTCTGTAAAAATGCATCTGTTACAGATAAATTATTACAGCTTAGAAAAGTTTCAATTACTTTTAAAGAGTCTTCTGCTACCTTAAAAGCTAATATGTGCATTATGCTGTCACACATCCTTTATTCTTTAAAGTGCTGCAAGATTCTCTGTTGTAACAGGATATCACAGCCACCTTCTGGAAATTCTTTCTGATTTTACTTTGTGCACAGTAGTAATGTGCAATAATGCAGTGTGGTTTGCTGTTTGTTTCATTTGTTTATAAGATTGCTAACATTTACCAGGCCCTAATCCTGTGCCTAATAAACTAGTTTGATCTGTAGACAGCAGGAGGTGCTGATTTCTACAACTGAGCCTGCTTTTTAAAGGCATAGGCATAAATAAGGCATTTTTCTGATCAGTCAGCAAAGTTATTTGAATACCACTTTTCTTCCAGTGAGTTCAGGCTTCATTTTTGTCTAACAATAACCTTTTAAGATCTTTAAAAGATCATGGTAGAATTAGAATTGTTCTCCATTTTAACTTTAAGGATGTTAACGTGCTTTTATTTGAGTATTACATCTGCTCTAAATAGAACTTTTGGCTGTTATACAATAGTGGTCTTTCTACTTAGCAGGGGAAAATCTTTAATTTACTTTTAGTAGCACAGTACTCTTTCATGAAGAAATGGAGTGTATGACCTAAACCTGGAAGAAAATTGAACCTGATGTTGGGTGATTGTGTTTGAAAGATTTTTCAGGCTGACTTCCAGCAAAGGCAGAGTTTATTAGTATATAAACAGGATCAGGATTTCAAAGTGCAAATTATTCAAAGCTCCATTCCATCTGCACTAAAGTGTCACTGCTTCAGGCTCAGGGAACAAGTATCTCCTGAAATTGGAAGGAGAGAGTGGGGAGCAGATGGTTGATCATTGGCTGAAAAAGAAGGATTTAAGCTGTCATGAAGTCGTGATTAACTGTCTGCTGAGATCCCTATTTGTATTGGCTGATATATGCAGGAATACATACAGTCTCATTTGTCTAGGTTTCCCCCTTTTAAATCTCACCTCCCCACCACAATCATGCTACCATGTCCTGTCCACACAGCTACTAGGACCTAACCATCATGTTCCCACTTTTACTGCTTTTTTTTTTTACATGTTCACATCAAATGAAGACCAAGCTAATTACTCTCTCATTACATCATTTGAAAGCCCCTTATAGGCATTTGCAGTATCTTTAGGCCAGTGTCTGCTATATGCATGGGTTTGTAGTGCTAATGTAAAGATGCTGAGGCAATTGCGGAGGTGGAGGTGGAAAGGGAGGTTTGAATGTTACTTCTCCCATGTGAACTACCATCATGGGGAAGTACGCTTTGGTGGCTCCTGTTTAGGGCTAGAATGTTTACATTTCCCCTCTAATAGGCCCTTGCAATAGTTATGTGGAACCGTACATTCTGGAATAAGGAAGAATCTTTAACTATGGGTCACTTGATAATTGTGTTATATTTTATTCGTGTATTTTTATACTGTCATTCAATAAATGCTTCCAAAGGCAGCTTACAAATATATGTATACCCAACAATATAACAGAAATAATGAAAACATAATAAATTATACATTGGGGTGTGGGGGTAGATCTGCAGCCCTCCTCCTCTCTTGTCCATGTACCTTCATGCCAGTTCACAGCTCCCTTGAAGTGAGATAAGAGTAAGAAAAGAGGTAGGGAGAAGTTACTTTCCTTCTCCAAAATGTTAGGTTATTAATTTAATTCTCTCTTGGAAGGAGCATCAGTGCTTTGCAACCTTTGCAGACCCAGAACCCACTTGTACCCAAACATGCATTTGGAAACTGACTTCTTAATTTTTGTGCCATATATCTATATGGGGACAATGAACAAGCATTCACTGACCTACCAACCAAAGACCAATAGAGCTGAAGACTGACTTGATTTTGTCCTTAAAGCAAAAGTGGACAACAACAGGATGCAC